AATGGCCTCACAGAGATACATAGCTAGAAAAGGAAGAGAGACTTAATACTGCTTTCAGACTTTCAGAGAATGAAATGCTTTCAGAATTTTCAGAGAAAATTCTCCTTTGCTACTATACCAAAACTTTAACAAGTGGAAGTTTTTTAGGGTTAAGTGCTAGTTGCCATCTGAAAACATACCAATGAACTTTTCATACTCTTTTACATGAAAATCCATCCATTCATCTTATACTTTGAAAGGATATTTTACCCATGTGTCATTATAACAGTGTACATTATTAGTCATTTGGCAATCATTGGTTTACTAGGTTATGCAGACATTCCAAACATTGGTACTTTCTATGGTTAAATACACACACACACACACACACACACACACACACACACACATATACATATACATACACACACACACACACACACACATATATAAATAAAATTCACTAATTTCCTCACCAATGTCAATCCCATGATCGCAGTTACAGGTTTTATAGAAATTATAATTTTTACTTGGACTCTTAATTTTTCATTGGCAACAAATACTGTCAGTTATTTGCCTTGAGTAACAAGTTCAATTCATTGATTTCTGCGAAAATGTCTGCAAAATTACTTAAGCCTGAATGGCATAGTTTGTTAGTCATTCTTTTATGTAAAAATGGTGTCCCACAAAAAAGGCAGCTAAGTTTAGCTTGGAATTCAGTCACACAAGCACTTTATGCATATATCCCATCTAATCACACAGAATATTACGACACACATACACATGTACATATACAACACCTGAAATACTGTTCATAAAAGTTACAAGGTTGTTAAAAATTTAAAAAATTACCAAAAATCAACTGACATAATGGTTACTACTGTAAATGTGGTTACCAATGAGGGAAAAAAAAATCTCATGATATTTCAAGAGATTAGAAAGCTTTTTTTTTTTTTTTTTTTTTTTTAAAAAAAAAAAAATTTTTTTTTTTTTTTTTTTTTGCTTCAAACAACACGAATTTATTATCTTGTAGTTCTGGAGGTCAGAAGCTTTACATAAGTCTTACTAGGCTGAAACTAAGGTGATAGCAAGGCTACACCCTTTCCTAAGTCTCTAGAAGAGAATTTTTTTGCTTCTAGAGGCTACCTGTGTTCCTTAGCATGTGCCCTCCTTCCGTCTTCATAACTGGTTACCGCCAATCTATTCCCACATCTCAATGCTCTAACACAGACTACTACCCCCTGCTTCCACATTTAAAGACCCTTGTGATCACATTGGGCCCATCCAGATTAGGAAGCTTTTAATAATATGTCAGCATTGTGTAAATAACTTCAAGAGTCACACTCCCTACAGCATTAGTGCTTGACTGAAATTCCTGTTATGATCCTCAGTAAAGTCAAGTAACAGTATCTATTTCATGGAATTTACTACACCTGACTTTTGAAGAATAAATGCTATTTTCAGTTAAACCAGAGTATTCTAAAAGATACACATTTACATCCAGATTTTTTCCCATATCAGAAATCAAACTCTATTTGCTATGTATATTCTTCCTGAAAATGATCCCTTGATTATTTTAGTTGATTTGGGAAATATTTTTTCATATCAGAGTATTCAACTCCCAATACAAGGCTAAAATTTAGCATTATTCATAGAATGGAAATTGTTGTCCAAAATTTTAATATAAATAAATTTTATATCAGTGTTCAGAACTTCATGCTGGATTTGAAGCTGGATGAGATAAAAAAAAAAAGCCCCACTAAACTGTAAGCAACATTGGTCAATCTGAAAAATACTGGTCTATAATAGAGTACGAAAGCAATTTCTAGAACAATATGTATTCTATGGTCACATTTGTGTTAAAAAATATATTTGTAGATGTAAATATGGATGATATACACATAAAAGTAAATTCATGGAAAAAAGTGTGGGAGAATATTTAAATTTGTAACAATGGTGATCACTGGAGAAGGAAATTATATGTTTTGTGATGGAATTATGAAAAGGGACTTTCACAGTTGACTATAAATTTCTGTAGTTTCTAGTTTTTCTGTTGTTCTAAGAATATACTTACGGATTACCTATACAATGTTAATATAACATAACAAAAGGTAAAATACATTTTAATGTCATTAGTATTTGTTTCCTAAATGAAGACTCAACTTTTGTGGGATTATTACCTAACGCGTGACAAGCTAGTGGTATTTCTTAATTAATCTTTGCCTTCAGGCAAAACATTCCTTTTTCTTTCCCTCATACTTATGCATGCTTCCATGCATCGTCTCTGCAGTATGGTGCTAGCTACCACTCAAGGAAACTGCCTCTTCACAATACCAGGCCTCATTGTCTTAATTTACATTGAGAGCAGAACTTCTCAGGGATGATTGTTGGCACCATTCCCACAAAAGCAACAGTTACACAAGGTAGACAAATGTGGGTCTACCTACAGAGGAAATGCTTCCTTCTGAGGCTTCCCAAGAATAGAATAGTGATGAGTAGAAGAAGTTGGACTCTTCCTTAAAGTCATGGAAGCATTTGGGAGCGTGGCCTAGTGACCTAGTTACCTAGGTCAATGACTTCAAGCAGGAATTACCACATCACTTTAAAGGTGAAAAGTTATCTAGTGAAGTGAAGTGGAACATTACAAAGGCATTTAGTATTACAACATGCTGTCATTGCACGAAACTAATCGGATAGTAATAACACACTCACATATTTCTTAGTAACTGAGACACAGTTCTACGTACGTTACATTTTGAGATCACAACATTGATTAAAACACAAACAGCCATATAATTAATACATGACATTATAATGGATGAATCATAATAAATTCTTACTGATGGATAATGATTTTAGCTTAATTTATTCGTTTTTTTTGGGGGGGGGATAGATGGCATGTGCAAAAATGTGCTCATGCAGCTGGTGGTGGGGGTGAGTGAGGGAAAGAGAGAATTTTAAGCAGGTTCCATGCCCAGGACAGAGCTGGAAGTGGGTCTTGATCTCACAACCCTGAGATCATAACCTGAGCCTAAATTAACAGGCAGGTGCTTAAATGACTGAGCTACCCAGGTACCCCTAAGCCTAACTTATTCTTAAAAGAATACAAATAATTTAATAATTCTATAATTTAGAGAATTAGGAGTTATTTCATCTCCAACTCAAGTTCTTACTCTCTTAAGCAAAATGATAGCAAATAGTTAACCCTCAGCAATATTTTATAAAACTAGTTGTATAGCTATATGATAGAAAAAAACAATCATGTTTTTCACCTGCTTAATTTCAAGGTGAGGAAAGCCACAATGTTACTAAATTGTCTCTGATTCCCAAAGTCCAATGTTTGTTATTCATTACAGGCACTCTCCTATCAATTTTCTTTCTAAACATTCCATTACTTTTCCACATGGCTCTTCATTTCCACCTAGGTTTATGCTTTTGAGTATGCAATTTACTACAAATCAAATTACTCTAATCAACAACTGAGTAATTGCATCGATGTATCATAACTCCCACCTCCAAAAGCCAGGAAGACTTCCCTAACTCCAAGGATTCTAAAAATTGTAGTTTCTAGCACTGTCAACTCAAATCATCCAAGAAAGATCTTCCTTTTGTGTTTTTTTGGTAGCAAATACATATATAGCAATCATATTTTTTAAACTAAAACCAAGAACACATGATGATCAAAACCAAATAATTTTTCTCCAATCCATAAGCTTTTATAAATATTTAATTTGAAGATATTAAACAGTAAGTTATATAATCAATTGATTTTACAGACAGGAATGAAATTATATGCAGTTAGGGTCATCCTAGAAAATTCCCAATAACATTCTAAGAAAATTCCCAAAATCGAATCTAGAAATTCTCTAATTACTAGCTTTGTGGATGGAGAAGACAGCTTTCTTTTTGCAGCAGTTAACAACAACTCTAGCTAAATATTTTGTTGACATTTCACACTACTTGTCAAGTTCATTTATTTGCCAAGAGGTACGTGAGGCTACACTCTTTCTCTGAAAACAAGGAGTCTGAAAAGATGGCATTTCTTCACCCCTCAGACACCATCTTCTGTAAGACAATAGAGCCGGTGACCCCTGTCAATGAATGTTCCTTTCCACCCCCTGTTCAGGCAGGAGACTGACTATCTGGTGAACCAAGATACAGAAGCTGAAAAAAATCTTAACACATATATTTCCTTGGAGTTTTTCCACCAAATTAAATTAATTTGTGGACAAATAATTTGCCTTATTTGAGCTGAAGACACAAAACGTATCTTTGGAGGAAAATATTATAGAATATTCCACAGGTAAAAACAAAAACAAAACCCCAGTACAGGGTTAAAGCCCCAAAAGGTACATGGATGTGAAAGGAAAAAAACAAAACCAAAACTACTAACGCTAAGAATAAAAGTATTCAAATATTCTGATGGATTCAACTTTCCCAAGGAGAGCATATTAATCTAGATATAGAACATAAGATAGAAGTATTTAATCGATACTTTCACATGAGTTATTATAAACGGATTCCAGAAGAAAATTTTAAATGATCATAAATGTAATATGGGGACCAATATTCATACTCAGAATTTTAAACTGGGATATAAACCTTTCATTGCTAAATAAAGGAATGCTAAAATTTAGACCTTGAGTATACTGAAAAGAAACAAAAATAAAATGCATACTCCAAGGAGAAAAAGCTCTTCATCATACCCTACCAAAGGCATTCAATTTTTCTTTTATATGAAAATGCATATTTTACAACGATTCTGTATGTCAATAAAACTGTGTTAACAGTAAGTCTTTGGCCATAAGCTTTGAGTAAAAATTTCTACTCCTAATACAGTGTTGATTTGTCCTATCCACTCTGGCTTCACATCTTTTCTTACTAATTTGTCAATAGTTTGATCCTTTAAATGTTTCAGAGAAATGATTATGTGTTATTATGCAACATTTAAGATAATACTCAAATAATATGCATTGCCTTGTATTTTTTATTTCATTTTAAGTACAATCATGAACACATACCTGATATAGAAGGTCTTTTTGAGGCAAGGGGGGAGATCGTTCTTCATACATGGGAGGTGGTTTATGTGTGGGTGGAAGGTCGATCCTGCATTAAAAAGGTTAATAAATGTGATTGCAACATTTAGCAAAAAAAAACAAAAAAAAAACAAAAAAAAAGGCAAGAAGAAGTGGGAAAACAATCAAGGTTCTCAAGTTTTGTGGATACTTTCCTCACACTAATATTTATATTAGTGCACATGCTTAATTCAGTTCTTATATTTCCACTAACTTATCATAGATTGGGGGGGGCCTGGTTTTAAACTTCCAATGTTTAAAACCAATCTAATTGATTCATTTAAAGAAGTAACTCAAATGAAAGCATGTTTCTGAAAATTAAGCAAGGAACCTAGTAACCAGTAAACAAGTAACCAATTTACTTCAGTAAATTTAGTAAATATACATTTTTCCATCAGACTCTATCTACCATCATTTTAAAGATAGTCAAATGTACGCAATGGAAGGCAAAGTGTCATAAAAGTAATTTAAAAAACTGTATCTTAAAATGATAATGAAGAGAAATTATACTGCATTTTGGAAATACTTCCAAAACTAATTTTCAAAAACCCATGATTACACTTAGAATATCTATCATGCAAATTAAGATTTTTCAATCTAAAGACCATTATAAATCTTGTCACCTGAAATAAACAGAGACCATTACATCCTCAAGGAATACATTTATTTTTGCCAAAATAACCTAATAAACTTTTAAAAAATCTAAACTTTCATGTATTTAAGTATTGTTATAATAAAAACAAAGTTAAGTATATCTTATAGCTCTCTGCATTTTAGAGAACAATTTTTAATATATTCTTATACTTTTGAAGTTCACAGATAACTAATTTTCAATTCATGTGATGACTAAATCAAACAAAATGTTACCTATATTAAAAAATAAAAAGAATGAAATCTATAAAGGCCAAAGTAATTATAAATTCTCTGTGGTCTAATAACTTCTCAATGTGGGCATGAAATAATAATTTTAAATGAACAGAACTCAAACGACAAATAAAATGGTTACATGGATGTAATTATTTAGTCTGCTAGTAAATTATGTTTTTGAAATTATAGAAATGGCTGAGATAACTTGGAAACTAAAATGAAGTTAACCACATGCTACTCTTGAAATAGTAAAAAACTATAAGCATAACTGTAACTATAAATATTATAACTATAAATATTAAAGAATCAGTGTTATAGGTGTTGCACTGAAAAGGTAATTTGCACTCCTTTGAAAGTAATTATTTCCTTTCATCTAATGAAAATCACAGCAAATTTATAGCTCCCAGGTGCCATCAGTCATTTGGGTGAGAAAACTGAGGCCCATGCAGGTGATGTGACTTGTTCAGGATCATACCACTAATTTGATCATGATAGAGCTGAGACTAACACTCAGTTGTCTTTAAGAAGATCTATGCTATACCTGTGTCAGATTAGAGAGGTAGAGTCACATACAAAGAATTTATGAAGACAGAAGAAATACATTCTTTGAGAGATAACCTCATGTCCAAATACAAAAATATTAATAACTTTGTAAGAAATAATGCCATTTGTATAAAAGTCACAGTTCATCAACATCATCATCTTATTCTACTCATCACAACCATGGAAGGTAAAGAGGAAAATATTTACATTTCACAGATGAAGCAACAAAAGCTGTTGATGGAATTCAGTGAATTGGGACATTGTTCTTTTGATTCTAGGGTGAAGTGCAATTTATGCTTTAACATTCTAGCTCAATAACTAGGCCCAAAATATTGCTTTCTCTTTAAATAAAAAAGTTGCACATTTTGTAACTCACCAAAACCAAAAATATTTAAGGAAAAAAGCTTTAAAACTAGACATATTTGATACTTCTTGGCAGTTCAGAGTAAGATCTATCTATACATAAGACTGGCATATACAATCTGGAGGAGTTAAACTTAAGATATTTTGAATCTCTCTTTCAACCATAACTCATCAGAGACCTGCATTTTTATTCATAAGGCAGGACAAAAAAAAGTGCCATTACGTTATCATTTAGAAAGATGTCCAATAAATTTGTAGGTGAAAAAGGTGTCTAATATATTTGTCTCCAGTGACCCCTTGACACAGTTTACCTTGACACATTCTGATGAAACCACAGTCGTCTCACAAAGATCTAACAGTATCTTTATTCCCATCCCTCAGACATTTCACAGCTATAAGCAGCTGTAAAGATAAAGCCTGACTTACATTGAATGTTGAACACAAGCAAAAAAGTTACCTACACTTTGTCAAGATAGGATGGTCTCTTTTTTCGAGGAGTCAGCAGGACAGTCACAAAGACAGCAATGATGAAAAGAGCAAGGACAGCTCCAATTACAGCTCCAGCTACGGCTATGGAAGAGGTCTGCTTAAATGGGACATCTGTAAAGCAACAAAAATTAGGCTTTTCAAACAATTTTTTAAAAAAGAGTTCTTGAGTTTCCATACCCTAATTTCTAAAATGTTCAAGGACTGATTGAAACATGTTACCGTTGGGCAAGATTAGAGAAAGCCCAATTTAATTCATTATTTTTCGTAGGATTACGGTAACACCGTTCTTCCTTGCAGGATGTCACCTTAGCACTTCAGCTTTGTTTTTTTTTTCAAGTTATGAAAATAATATCCCCAGTCAGACATCAACAAGTTTATCTATTTTCTATGGGCAAGGAATGTCCGGAGAGAAGATAGAGAAAAGGATGAAAACTATTTTAAATTCCTACTCTAAAAAATAATTTTTTTCATTATTCTCAGTTAACCAACAATATACATTTACCATTTTTATTCTAGTAGAACATAAGAGAAATTCTATTAAGGAAACCAAAGGGTTTCAAGAAGGGGCAAAACAAAGACATAAAAAATATCCCAGATCTAGTAAGTACGTTGAAAATTACACTGTATGTTTTAAAATACAGGTATTATAAAAACAGCACTGTTGCTGATAATTTTCCCTTAACTCATAAACATTTAATACAAAGTCCACTGAAGAGAGTGTCTTTACTACACAATTAAATGAAAAAATCTTCCCCATCCCTTGTTTGTAAACACACTACATAATTTCTAAATACCAATTTCTCTTTCCTAGCCTGTACCATAAATTTTGTTAAGAAAGTATTTTAAAAACATATTTATCATTTTTAGCAATTATCACTTCATACAATCCTGAAAAGTCACTCCACTTTTAGAAATAAGGGAATTAGGGAATTTACTAAAACTATTGTATCTATGTGCTTTCAAATGTAAATATCATGGGTATGACAATACAATCAACCCTTACATGTAAATATTACTTTGATAATTTAAGCGACATCAAACTTTTTGAGTAACTACCAAGTACCATCGATATATACAATTTTGTTTTATCTTTCTAACCAATAAGAAAGATGTTTAAGATAATATTGTAAAAATGAAAATACTGCACTTCTAAAGTTAAATATTCTGCCCAAGCTCTTTCAATCAACTAATAGTAGAGAACAAAGAGTAACATAAACCTAGCTGGGGTAGGCTTGAAGCCCTCACCATTATGTCCTTGCTGGGAGAAAATGGTTTTTGCAATATCTAATGTAGTCTCTTTTTGGTCCCCTACTTGGAAATGAACTCTCAGATTTCACTTAAATGGACATTCATATAAACTTCTAAATAATTGCAATGACTGGTAGAACCAGACATGGCAAATTTAAAGGAAATTAAAGCACTATCAGTTTTGAAATATGTTTCACCAACTTATCATCATAAATATTTCCATATATTACATATTTAGAAGTATTTTCGAACTGTTTCTACTAAAATATGAGTCATACGATGTTTGCTTTTAAAAAAGATTTACTTTCTTCTCAATTATAAAAATTTCTTTAGAAAACTATCAATCCTCAGTTCATTTATTAATAAGTCATTCTGTTAGTCTCATTCTACTTATACCAATCTAAGTAACCCATTTCAGTAACCTTTCAAATGCTGATTAGAATCTAAAAATATTAAGATATACAATTTTTTTGTTGTTAAAGTAGGTTCCATAGAGTAGAGTTCAATGCAGGGCTTGAACTCATGACTCTGAGATCAAGACCTGAGTTGAGATCAAGAGCAGGATGCTTAACCGACTGCGCCACTCAGATGTCCTCAGATAAGACAATTATTTTAAGCAATATAACCAGCTTACTCATGTGAGACTTTACCCTTATTTGCTAATACATGCCTAATTTATCTTCCCATTATTGCTCATTTGTCTAATTCCCACTATTTCCATTTGAATATGTGCTATAAGAGAAAAGGTCTGAAATCCAAGCCAGTCAAATATTATTTTGCTCTTGTAAATGTTTAAAGACTTAGGATGACCTAGGAATAATTTCTACTCTATGTTATCACTTTTCCCACTGTACAAATTACATTTTTGTATTCAATCTTTAACAATAGGTCAACTGAAACCTATTAAGATTGCTGTGCCCAAAGTTATCTGCCCACAGCCATACACATTGTCAGTGGCACAAATAAAAAAATCCCAATGTGTCAGGTATGCTACTTATGTCACACTAGTTATTCTAAAGGTTTTCCTTTAAAGGAAATCTTCATTTTGCTAAAGGATAAAAAGCAGCCCTCTCATTTTTGCCCAAGTGTACTGAATTCAAATTTGAGGGTTATCTTGATGGTAAGGACAAAGTTAATACCGCATTTATAATAATACTTCCAAAGGTATTTTTGGAAAACTCAGGTTACTCTTTGAATATAGATTTTCAATGTACAGATCATTATACATTCTTCATCAAACAGCACACCTCCAAGAAAATCTTTCAGTTAATCTTAGCAAAGATATTCAATTTGGTAGTGGTTATAATAAAACATAATCACAGACTTTTCACATCCTAAAGTAATTCCCAACTCTATATACTATTTTTCATACCCTTAAGTAATTCTCAAGTCCAATAGACACTATTTTTAAACATTTAAGTTATATTTATCTACTTCTGTCCCATTAGCTTTATAACTCCTAGCTCTAGGACTCTGTAACTGAGAGTTGACTGTGCATAGACCTTAACACTTCCTTCTATCTTAGTTGGACATATTTATTTCACTGAGTTCTATTCATTCTATATTCATATTTATTTTTGTACACCTCTTCTTAGTATCAGAAAAGTATAGCAAGAGCTGAAAAGAATAACAGAAAGGAAAGCTAGGTATGAACTCATTTATCAATAGGCTATTCTATATAGATAAATTGACTACATTAAATACACATATGGGATATATTTCATATTTCCATTTCTGATTTTTCTACTAATTGACAAAAAAATATATTTAAGGGTATTAATAGATGATGAACACATTGAATGAAATGCAAAGGAAGGTCAGAAATTTCTTGCATTCAAGTCAAAGAATTTTAATGAGAACTGAGAATTTCGTTCCAACACTGTCTCCTCCACATTTGCCCACATAATCTACGCAGACTCTATATTACAACAAAATAGGGAAAAAAAATAAGCAAATGTATAAAAATTTGGCATTCTTAAACAGTCAGCTAATTTACTGACTGACATAAAGCAACACTGCTATCACCCAAGGAAATGGTATACTAAAACTTAAAGATATGCTTACAATCAGCAGAAAACAAGGCAAAAGTGTTAAAATATTTGGCATTAAAGGATTGGTGTATGTGTATCTCAAAAGAATAGCTTCCTATTACCATGGCACCTATTTTGGATATATTATATTGGAAACTCATCTACAAAAACAACAACAAAAAAATAGCATTCCCCAATACAACAAAACCTTACTGCCCATAACCAGGGATATCATGCCTATGCCCTAGCCTTAAGGGGAAAACGTTAAAAAATCTGTTAACACATCATACCAAAAGAAACCATACAAATATAAGAAATTTCATTACTTTGAAAAAATATACATATAATTACTAAACTGAATTTGTCTTTATTACTGATACATACGAATAAAAAATATGTGAAAGCTATTCAAACATTTGCTCACCTAAATCACATCTTGCAAGATTTGAAAATACTACTATTCTATACAATAAAATAAAGCAATTAGCTAAAACCACTTAAAATGGGTGAGCATAGGAATCTACAAGCCCTGGGTGCCTGGGTGGCTCAGTGAGTTAAAGCCTCTGCCTTCAGCTCGGGTCATGGTCCCAGGGTCCTGGGATGGAGCTCCACATGGTCTCTCTGCTCAGCGGGGAGCCTGCTTCCCCCTCTCTCTGTCTGCTTCTCTGCCTACTTGTGATTTCTGTCAGATGAATAAATAAAATCTTTAAAAAAAAAGAAATCTACAAGCCCTTTTCACTCTTGTATTCAAACACTAGGTCCTAATAATTAAATGAAACCTTCACTTTTTTATTCCCTTCATCAAAACTTCAGTGCTGTATCACGATTCATACATTAATATGAATTATCTACAAACTTATCTCAACTTCTATTTGCCCCCATAATACCTATCACTGTATTACCAATTTTCCCCATAAATAGATCTCATTTTTATTTTTCAATAGCCTCCTTTAATGCTTACCTTTCCAATAATCTAGTTCTTTATATCCATCCAAATATTTATCTACTTTTTAATAAAAGTCCTCTCTTTGGCTCAGAACAGTGTTGTCGGCATCTCAGTCAACAAATTCTCAATAGTAACCTAGTATGTGTCAGGCACAGTGCCAGGAATGCAAGGATGAATTTTATATCATCCCTATCCTCACCATAGAGAGCAAAATCCCCAAAGTGGGGTCACAGAATCCATACATACATATTGTCCAACATAGGGATTATCATCATTTATCTTATCCTTTTTTTGGGTTAGTGATAATTACAAAATAAATGTTGTACTAGTACATAATATGTGGACTGGCACTGGTGGCCCCACATCATCCAAATGTCAGGAGTTCACTTGTACACAAGACACCCACAAAACCCTGTGGGAAGCGTGGAGTGGGACAGTTCCAGAACATAATCAAATAAACACTTGGTTGTTCCCTCTCGGCACAGTCAGCATATTGTGACCCACTATGATATATGAGCGCTCAGGTGAATGAACTAGCAACCAGCCTCAATTTAAATAGAGGTCAAGAATGTAAAGGAGGCACAAGATATGTACCCTGGGTGACAGGTGAACACCTGACACATAGACCAAAGGAGGGTATCAGTGCTAATCCACGTTATTTATTAGCAAGCATTTATTCCCAGTAGATGTCATTCCTGCAAAGAACTGGAAGAATGAAGAACAATACCAATAATGAAGGCACATTTAGATACTAAATGAAACTGCAAATTAATTTTTTGTGTAATAATAAATCTATAGTTACTTTTCCTAAATATTCCTTCTCTTTTACAGCTGTATGCTGCTATATTTACAGATGAACTAATGGCAGGAGGGATTATGTGGGTAGG